GGGTTAGTATCACTTCCTCCCACTCCACCTGCTTTTTCGAAAGTAGCAAGATCTGTTTGATTTGGCACCTGTCAAATTAGATTCAGTTGAATCAATTCAGGACAGTGATTCGAATCGCCAAATCAAATCGCTGTCCTCCAAATCAGCTGAATCCAAAGTGAATACTAGCTGTTTCGCACAGGCCTAGTGTGTTTACCAGCTCCAGCCCCACACACTGCTTGCAGCATGCATCAACGCTAGCCTATCATGCAGCACATGGGGCAGATCTGGGATGTTTGCTGTGTACGGTGTGCAGGGCCAGTCCAGGGCATGTGCTCCATGTATCACCTACACCAGACTAGCCCTGTACACTGGATCTGGGAAGTGGGGCCAGCCTCAAATCCAGGATGTAGGGCTAGTCTGGCACAGATGCTACCTGCAGCTCGCACCCTGGACCAGCTCTGCATAACTTGTTCAGTACGTGTTCCAGGTTGACTACATCATGTGCAGCACACATGCTTGCTCCAACTTGTGCCAGATGAGCTCCACATGCTGTATGCAGCTGGTCCAAGGCCCATGGGCAGCACTGCAGTCTGGATGATAAGCTTTTGTGGGCTGGATTTTTTTGACATCCCTGGTTTATGAGTTGGAGATGCAGGCAGGCATTTCTGTCCTTTTGGGACCTAGAATTTAGGCCTGTCCTATGGGTAGAGGCCTACAATTCTTTCAAAGAACTGAGCTGGACTTAGTCTTCCAAGATATGTCTGCTGGGTGGTACCCAAAATCTGTGCAATACTGTAGTCTTTCTATGGCTAGTAATGGGTGGGTACCACTTCCTCCCACTCCAGCTACTTTTTCAAAAGTAGCAAAATCTGTTTGGTCCAATTAAAGATATTAAGAGTTGCTGCTGTGGGAGAGAGATTAGACAAGTTTTTCAGGCATAGGTTTCTGTAAAGGCAAAGGCTTAAAGTAAAGCAACTGCCAGTATTTTTTGTGAGCAGCCTTATTCTGTTGGTGAGTGTTAGGAATGCACTGAACATGCCCACCAAATCAGGTTGTCAAGGAATTTAGGCACTACTCTGTCTTGTTCCTACAACCAGAGCAGTGCTGGATGTGTCTTAGGGAATGCTGTGCTGAAATGGGGCATGTCATGAGTTTTGGGTGCTTCTGCGGTTAAGTGGCTGCTGGATTTTTGAATCACACTTTTAGAGTTAAGTGCCTAAAAGTTTACCTAAGTTCTCTTTTGGATCACTTCTAAACCTTGGATGAGAAGCGGCCCAAGTTTATTAGCTTTGTCCATGCCAGGTTCTTCCTAAAGTAAGGAAAATAGAGATGTTTTTACCAAGCCAACTCAGGCTTCTAACTGCTGTTGAATAAAAATTATATATTAATGGACCTGTACTGATACTTGATAGTAATACAGATACTTGCATCAAATGTACGTTTTGCACTTATGTTGTTTTGGGCATTTTTTTTGTTAATCTGAGCCATGAAAATGTTAGTATTCCCACCTCCTAGTTTTTGATGTATGTTACTCCATAGAAGTACTGCACATCAGATAGTTTGGACTTAAGCTTTTTAAACAGTCAAGGAAATGTTTTCTTCATAAATTGGGTCTAAGCTACCTTCTACTTTGAAGAGTGGAAGTCCATGAGAGAGGCTGGATAACCTCTGAATCTAGCTTTTGCCATTTAAGTGCAGTGGTTTTTGAGCATTCATTTTAATTTTAAACCATTTCTATTTATATGCAATTCTTTCCACGGGCTCCTCCCGCCGCTGCCACCCCCCCGGTTACCTGGTTACCTTGGCCATACCACTTCCCCTTACAATGGAGGTTAAGCTAGCAGAAGCTCTCTTCCATTTCCTAGTTCCATCCAGAGAAGGATTGAGAGTGCCAGCACATTTGTGCTGAGTAGACAGCACGATCTTTTAGTCTTCCCCAGCTGACGTAGATAGGCTGCCAAAATGTTGTAATGTACACCAAACTAGTCCGTACCCTCAGTTCTTTAGTGGGCACATCAATTGGACTGGTTAACTTATGTGTCATATTTAAGTATTAATTCGTATATTGTGTAAAAGATCTACTAACAAGGTATTCTTTACATTCTAATCAGCCCTGTGTCTTTGTCCTTCTGTGTGCCATACATACAGAATCTTGGTTCGTCAGAATTCAGCCTACTCCTTGGTTGCCATCCTTACCGTTGTGGCAAATAAGATGATAGAAGACTTTAATTTGGTTGCTGAAATCCATTCAGTTGCAGATAATTTTTTTTAAAGAAGCTGACACAAGCAAAGTCTACAAAGACCTAGGTATGGGATTTTAAGCAAAAGGATATCTTAACATCCACTGGATGTCACTGTTCTACAGGAATTTATCTTGGGACTGTAAGGAAAGGACACTGAAACTAGCAGTGTTAAATCCAGCAGGCTGGAGAAAGATGACTTTGGGGGTTTTAGATGGGAAATAAAGTGTGTGTGTGTGTGTGTGTGTGTGTGTACACATATATAAAATAAAAAATGTATATGCTTTCCAGAAAAATGGATTTTGTTGTCAATAGGAGCTTCTTCCTTCTTGAATAAATAATGGTGAAGAAGAAAAGATGCATTTATTTTTCTGATGGCTAACATCTCATTTAGCTTGTGTCACAGGACACTCTGCCCCAACATGCACGTTTTAAAATACTGTATTTACTCGAATAGAAGATCTTGAAATTAAACATGACAGTAGCAATTTGCATATAGTAGCCATGCACTTAGCTTATCCAGAATTGATTCATGTTATCTTTTTTTGAAACTGCTGCAAGTTTGAGCATGGGTACTCCATAAACATACTTTTGAGCAGCACATTAGCACCTACTTATATTTTGTATAATTTATTTTATTTTTTTTATTTTTTGCAATATATATGTATTGCAAATGTAAGTGTGTGTGTGTGTGTGTGTGTGTGTGTGTGTGTGTGTGTGTGTGTACACACGCGCGCACACACATACAGTGGGGCTCTGTGAAATGGCACC